TGAAGAAGGCCCTCTATGGCCTTAAGTAGGCTCCTAGGGCCTAGTATGCCACATTCTCCAATTTTCTCATCTCTCAAGAGTGTGTTTGTTTTGAAGGATTAGGGGGTGGGATTGGACTATTAGTCCCACCGGACTAATAGTCCATTTTTTGTTTCTTTCTTTTTGCTCCGGACTAATAGTCTCCCCGAACTATTAGTCCTACAAATATGAGACTATCCTATCCCATGGAGGGAGGTGGGATAGAAACCATGGGATTAGTATCCCATGAGATTATTTTGTAAAATGTCCATTTTACTCTCCGTGCTATTACTTAGCAAACAATTAGAAAATGATAAAATAGTCTTTTGAACATTTATAAATTATTTTTTTAGCGTTGTTAATTGAAAACTATATATTAAATAAAAAATTTAAATTATAAATTAAATTTAATTAAAAATAATAAATTATAAATTATGGCCTTATAAATTAAATTTTTTTAGTGTTGTTAAAAAATCAAATTTACATATTAAATTAAATTATTTTTTTAGTGTTGTTAATTTAAAATTATATATTAAATAAAAAATATAAATTATAAATTGAATTTATTTAAAAATAATAAATTATAAATTATGGCCTTATAAATTAAATTTTTTTAGTGTTGTTTAAAAATCAAATTTACATATTAAATTAAATTATTTTTTTAGTGTTGTTAATTTAAAATTATGTATTAAATAAAAAATATAAATTCTAAATTAAATTTATTTAAAAATAATAAATTAAAAATTATGGCCTTATAAATTAAATTTTTTTAGTGTTGTTTTAAAAAGAATGAGACGGTTATGAGAGTTTTCTTACTATGTTAGGTTGTTAACGATTTATCGTCCGAATTTGATTTATGATTCTGATCGTAAGATATGATTGTCCTGGCTCCATGATCGTCTTGCTAAAATTTCACATCAATTGGACGCGATCTCACCGTTGATCTGCCATTGGATTCTCTTAGAACTTTTAGTTGTTGATCATCATCTTAGACTCAGAATTTGCAAGATCTAACCCCAAAAATGGATTCTACACGTCGAAAAACCTAAGGGTGGTCATCCCCAAAGTCATAGGACCACTCGATTAACCTAAAGGTACTAGGGTGCACCGTAGCAGCATGGGCCGAGAAACATAGGATAAAATTTAAGCTCATCTTCTCCAAAGCCGTAGCATGCACGAACAGAAGAGACCCAGAAATTTGGTTTCAATTGTTAGTATTATTAGTGTACAGAAAAGCTGTAAAGTAAAGCATAGCTAGTTGTCATTTATATTATATGATATGTAATGTTTCTTGCTTTCGGTGCCTAACTTAGCATCCTATGCTGTCATCCCCTCTCTATAAAGAGAGTGTTCATCTTCTTGTAATAATACACAGAAATACAGAGTTATTCATTTTGCTCTCTCTCCCTCTCTTTATCAATTTATCTTACAGTACAGAAGTCTAGTTGGAGGTCTTCAATATCTTACTATCACAAGGCATGACTTTGACTGTTAACCAAGCTTGTCAGCATGCATTCTCCCACTAATGGCCATTTTCAAGCAGTCAAGAGGTTATTGAGGCCTATGTTTTTCCTCCGATCCTTTGGTTATTCAAGTTTTTTCAGATTCAAATTGGGCAAGGGATGTCTCTAATAGACAATCTACTTCTGGGTTTTGCATCTTTCTTCGCTCTAATTTGGTTTCTTGGTCGGCTAAGAAACAAAATACTGTTTCTTGTTCCTCCACTGAGGCAAAATATAGAAGCTTGGCCCATACTGCTGTAGAGCTTTGTTGGCTTCAACAATTTCTCACAGATCTGTTTGTGCCTTCCTCTGTCCCAGTTCTGTGGTGTGACAACCAATCAACTATTGCTCTTGCTTCTAACCCAGTGCTTCACTCTAGGTCCAAGCATATCGAAATCGATTGTAATTTTGTGCGTGAAAAGGTTATTTCCAAAATGCTTACTCTCAAATTTGTTCATAGTGAGCATCAGCTTGCAGATGTGTTTACAAAACCATTGGCTTCTCCTTGATTTAATTTTCTCAAGTCCAAGCTTCTGATGCAGCCTTGCCCCATTCGCTTGACTGAGGATGATAAGAATACAAAGGAATCACACACATTAGCGCAAGGACTGAAGCAATCACATCTCAAATGCTCACAACAAGCAAAGGAGTTGACAGTCAATGTGTCACAGCTCAGTAAGGTCAACAAGTTTAAGCATCAGTCATGCAAGTTGTATGGCAGTTAGATAGTTGAGAGTATTTGTTAGTGTATGCTTGTGGGTGAATTAGTTAGATTGAGAGTGTTATGTGTAAAGTGTATATATACATCTGTAATAACTACTTTTGAAGGTACGAAATAAGAGTTTCATCCGAAGAAGGGAGTGTATTTGAAAGAAAGTAGAGTGGAAATAGCGGCTCTCCAAAAAAAATAAACTTAAAAAAAAATTAATTGAAAAATTTCTTTTGAAAATTTAAAACCAAACAAATTGAATGATCTTGTTTATAATTTTTTGAAATTCTATTTATGATTTTTACCAATCATTAAATTGTGCGTAAAGTGTAACTAATATCCATGTAAAAGGGTAAAAGTGAAAAAAAAAGTATAGTATTAATGTGGGAAATTCTATTTCCACACACCTACTTACTTCTGTGCACACACTTAATGATTTATTTTTTTATTACAGTTTTGTCCTAAAATAAAATTATTAAAGTGTTCTTATCTTCTCTACCAAAACCCTAATTACTTAACCCTAACCCTAGCTATCGCCGCTATTACAGTTTTGGAAATCTGAGTTCATTACAATCTCTTGATCTAAACATTAACCAATTGAGTGGGAATTTTCCTAATACACGGTCTAGCCTTATTAATCTACAAACACTCTCTCTCTACACCAATAATTTCTCCAATAGCATCGCCGAAGACTTTGGGAAGAACAGTCTCTTGTTGAATGCCAGCTTTTCTAACAACGGCATCTCCGGAGAACTACCACCAGGATTGTGCATTGGTCTTGCTCTCGAGGAATTGACCGTGAATGGCAACAATTTCACCGGGCCATTGCCGAAATGCTTGAAGAACTGCTCTTCACTTACTAGAGAATGGGTGTTAATTTAGGGTTTCAATGTTAAACAGAGGAATTTTTTTGGCAAAAAAAGTTGTGCATTAAATAAAATTACAAAATTCAAAATTAGTTGGTGTGTATATTGAGAGATGATGTTGAGTGAGATATTTTCGTGTGTGGAAATAAAATTACCCTATTAATGTAGCTTTGAACTATTTTAAAGCAATTTATTTAAGATAAAAGACTCAATTGTCCTAACAGAAAATTAATGGAATTTAATAATTTTTCTTTAAGAAAATTAACTTTAATGGTTGTTTTCCTAAATTTATTTTGGCAATGAAGCTTATATATAATATATATGCACAAAAAATAGGAGTTAATCCAATCAAAGAACTGGACCAATTCTGAAATTTTCAAATATATATTGTAAAACCAAATTTGTGCTATGTAAAATAAATTTCCAGCTGAAACCACATGGAAAACACCATTTTGGCACATATACAAAAGAAAAACAAAAAAATCTGTTCAAATCAAATAGGGATTATTTTCATGCCCCATAACAAATATCTATGAATAAAGAAGAAAGTGCATTTCCAAGTCTTTTTAGAGTCAGACTTCACAAAATGAAAAGGTAATTGGTTTTTGAAATTGAAGCTACATCTGACTTATTCCTCTGGCGAGGGTGTGCACAATTAAGGGATAAAATAAAAATTAAACAGCGGATGACAGATTGATAAAATTATCATTAAAAATTATCATTTTTCTTATCAAAAATCGACATTTCAATTGCTAAATAATGGCGATTATGATTTAACGGTTTGAGTGGATTGGTGATTTATAAAAAACAAAATTCAAATTACAAAACTAGAATCAAAGAATGAAAAAAAATTAATTTATATTACAAGAAATTTCACCATCAAAGCAATCATCACTTGTATTTCCCTCATCCATTATCTATTACAAAATACAAATTAACAATGATAAAGTAAAAATGTTTCAAATATTTCCAACTGAGAAAGCATATAACAGTTGTTGAATGATATAGTCTGATACAAGAAATTGGTGGGAAAAAAAAATTCCAGAAATTCATACAAGTGAAAATTTTAATATATTATTCAAAAACAGTTCTGAGATAATTGTAGTTCATGCATGCTTCCTGCCATTCCGAAACCATTTGTGAAACAAATTCCTTGCCAAACTATTTTATTTTTCTCAGTAAATTGAGCCTCTTTGTTACACTGATCTGACACAAATATACACAACATGGATTTTAAGCAAGTATGTAGTATATATATATCATATGCATAAGGTTATCACTGTAGACCCAATCGACAAAAAAGGGTGGGACGGTATTATTGATTACTCAAATCAGATTCTAACCCTCCTTTTTCTGATATTTTTTTTGTGAAAATTTTTGATGAAGGAGCAGATTTTTTAGATGGAAGAGAGTAGAGAAAGCAAAGCGAGAGCCAGTATCAAATCGGGAAGAAGATATGGCAGTGAGCCAAGAAGCAGTTCCGTAAAGGCTAATGGTGGTTACCAATCGGCAAGGTTAGAAGAAGAGGATGATGAATGGGATGAGATGTTTGGGGTTGTGAATTAGGTTTAATTGAGAATTGATTTGTGTGTGCAGTGTATGCATATTTGGTTTGGAACCTGGATACATATACATACATTACATAAATAAATAGGTCAGGTTGGTTGAAAGGCTGGTTGGCTTTCTCAAACCCCCACCCGCACCAACCCGCAAGGTCTGGACACCCAACCACCAGCCAGAACCCAAAAAATGTGCAGTACAGCACAGTTTGGAATGATTGACGGTTTTAACAGTATTGTGCACAACCCTACCTCTGGCTACTAGAAAATGCAGCATTGGAAATTCAAAACCACAGGTATCTCAAAGACAACTCACTCAGGTGAACTCATAGAAACAAGAGAAACATAGTAATTCATGGTCTCGGGTTAAATATTATATATAGCATCTCCATATAGAGTCTACGAGTACACATAATATAACACAATCAGTCACCATTGCAATATATTATATATAGAATGACATAATTCAGGAATTCATCATTTGAATTCAACTAAATTACTAATTATAAAGGCACAATCTTCAAAGGAGCGTAGGTGAGATATCCATCGCAAAGGGATTACCCATAACATTATCCATGTAATAGTGGGGATGAGTAGCATCCATCACAACAAACTGCATATCTTCCGAAGGCTTCCAGTGCCGTTTCCTTTGATTGATGAACCAGTTGTTAATTTGCTTTTGATCCAGACCCGTAGATTCAGCAAGCGCCAGCTTCTGCGACTCCTGTTGTGCACCATTAGTTTCAAGTGATTTTAAGGCCATCGATTGTATTTGAAAGTAGAGAAGAGATTGAAGAGATGATCACAAAATGGTTACTTCAAGCAAAACTTCCAAGAAAAAGTGAAGGCCTTTTGAAGAAACTACTTTTTGATTACTTAGGCATATAAATAAATAACCATGTCACTCTTTCAAACAACATATACTTTTAAATGAGTTTTTGGTCAACAATTTAATACGGTTTCATAGTTGACAATAGAGCTTGTGTTTGACTGCCACCACCTACACGAAAATTAAAAAAAGCCTAGCCCCGTGTGAGGAGGCATATTGAGAATGTAAAAAGCGTTTGATAACGTTTACGGTTTTGATTTATATTTTTGTTTATTTTTAGAAAAACATAGACTACAAACGCTTTAGTTTAAACAAAATGTTTGAAAAATTTTAAAAACATAAACTAAAAAATATGTTTGTTCAAACTTAAAATATTTATATTTATTTTTTATTATTTATTATTTATGACAATGAGATCATACATATTATAATTGAAAAAAAAAATTAATTGAAAAAAAATAATTGAATAAAAAATTATTTGAAAAAAAAAATTTGTTGGTCAAATTTTTAAATTTCTGTTTAAAAGTCCAACATAAACTCATTTTTTAAGTATCCATTTTTTTCTCAAATTTACGAACTTGGACAACTATTTATAAACCAAAAAAAAATTATCAAACATATTTTTATAACAATTTTTTAAATTTTTGTAAATACAAACTAAAAACCAAAAACGAAATAGTTACCAAACAAGCCAAAGTTTTATTCTCCAGCAGAGCTGACAACTTAAGCTTTCAATTCAAAGTTGATGGTCAACAATTCAAAATAAACGAAGCTCAAAGATCAACAGTCCTAATTAAGGTATTGGTCCACATTGGAACAACCAGGAGTGAGGGAGAAATGGTTGATGGAACTGGCAGGAATGGAACTGAGAGACTCAAACAAAGAGCTAGTTGATGGAAGTGGGATCAAAATGAGAGTGATGACTATCAAATAAGCACCAACGTGATCAGAGTACCAAACCAGGGATGAAATTTAGAGAGGCAATTATCAACAAGCATTAACATGTATCAAAGTCTAGGAAGTAAATCATAAACAAATTAAACTAGTAACTATATATGATTAGGGGCATAACAAGGTTGAAGGCTATAGGGATGATACCGATGGGTACGGCCATTTGTAATGTCTACTCCACCATTCTAGCAACTGTTGCCTGGCTTCTTTAGGCAACTTTCCTTTCTTTCTTTTCTTCATGAACTCCTGCTTCAGACTCCCTAAATATCCACTGTACTTGCGCAAAAGCTGACCTTTCAGTTCCTTGTCTTCTGCATGAGGATCTATGAAATTGTTCACATCAGCCTCTTCTTCAGACGATCCATTTCTGTCACAAGCTACACACAGCAGAGTTGGTTAATTAACAGCTTTAACATGCAAAAGAGTTTATGTTATGAGAAAATCATAATGAGCAATAACATTACCCCTGCACATCAGATCGTGAAATATTATTAATTTTATTTTTATCAGCATCAAATTGTGATCTTATTCTATCAGTCTCACAAAGAAAACATACATTTCTATAGTAATAGCAAAGAAAGATCTGCAAAATGCTCAAACCAAGATATCCTGCCATTTAAGTAATAAAAAAAGGACTCAGATATACACATCTCATTTTACTTCAAAAAGCACAATCCTAATCTATTCTTGTCATATTTCTATGGATCCTCTAAACAAGATTTAGCCATTCTGCTCTCTTTCCGATTGTGATATATTATTAATTTTATTTTTATCAACATCAAATTGTGATTGTAATTTTTTTTTTTTTTGTTGGATCAGCAACAAACAAAAATTTTATTAAGGCACAAAACCAAAGATTGAAGGATGAGGCATCCTCAGAAACAAGGAACAAGTGAAAAAAGAAGCAATGAAAAAACAAAACGAAAAAAGCCAAAACCAAAACAAAGCTAACACTACATATCGCAAACTGACACTGCAATAAAAAAAAGAGGAACTCCTTGAAACAAAGGGCTACCCAACACCCAAAACGAAACCAAGACTTTTTTTTCATAAAAAGTCAATATCCTGAAATACATCTTCAAATACATGCCCATTTCTTTCCAACCAAATGACCCAAAAAATTGCTAAGATAGCACAAAGCCAAAGCACCTTCGCCCTCTTCGACTTGCCCAACACTTGAAAATCAATTAAGATCATTTGACCACTATCTTTTGGAGCCACCCACATAACATTCCCCAAACAAAACAACTTTTGCCACAAATTTTCTGCCATTGAACAATGCAAAAATAAATGATCCGAAGATTCTCCATTCCTCCTACACATGATGCACCATTGAGGTTTAAGAGAAAGTGAAAGCCTCCTTTTTTGCAATGTATCATTGGTTAAAGTGCCTCCATGAACCAATATCCACATGAACATCCCTTTACCTTAAGAAGAACACAAGCCTTCCAAATCTTTTTGTGAAAAGGAAACAAAGGTATGTGAGACTTATCAATGAATTTGTCAAGAAAAGATTTACAAGAAAAGGAACCCGAAAAATGAATAGCTCAAACCCACTTGTTCTCCAAAGATGGAGCCAAAGAAACATGCCCAAGCCTTGATAATAGACCCATCACTTTCCCGACTTCCCTATCACTAAGATTTCTAAGAAAATTAAAGCTCCAAGAAATTGGAACCAAAGACGAACATGCCATGAAAGCAATAAAGCAGTTATGAGACTGATGTATTCTATACAGGTACGGAAAAAACACAGCAAAGGAAGAAGTACCCACTCAAACATCCTCCCAAAATTTGACAAGTTCCCCATTACCCACCCTCACAGAAATGAAAAGGAGCCAAACGATAAATACGAAAGATTACCAAGGAGCTCGACCATTACCCCCAGTGACCACCTGTGAGTCTCGACCGTTAACATGAACCCCAACTTGCTTTTAATAACCTTATGCCATAATAAATCACACTCATTTGGGAATTTCCATAACCACCTGCCAAGTAGAACTGTGTTCCTAGCCACAATATTACCCATGACCAAACCCCTTTTCTCCTTAGGAAAGAAATCTGTCTCCCAATTCACCAACTGATTCTTTTTGCCCTCGTCCTTCCCTTTCCAAAGAAAATCTCGCATCAATTTTTCTAAAGATCTTGCCTTAACCAAACAGAGACAGAAAGTATGTCAAAATACCGCTTAGAACTGTCTTAACCAAAGTGTACCTACCTCCTCGAGAAAGTAAAACCCCACTCCATTCTTCCAACCTTTTTCCAATCTTTCTCCACAACTGGGGTCCAGAATGACTCATTTCTAAGGTTGCCTCCCAATGGAAGTCCCAAGTATCTAATAGAAAATGCCTCAACCCTCCACCCTAGAAGCTCAGCCACTCGTTGGAGATCATCACCCTCTACATTAATACGAACCACACTACTTTTTTCCAGATTAACCTTGAGGCCCAAAATCACCCCAAAATGTTTTTAACACCAAAAAAAAGATTTCCTATTTGTCTTTCATCCCCCAAAGAAACGAAAATAATATCATCTGTGAACTATAAATGTATTACACTAACCCTATCTCTACCCACAATAAAGCCTTCGAGCAAACCTACCTCTCTAGCCCTGTCCACCATCCTACCTAGCACATCTGCCACCAAAATAAAAAGAAAAGGAGATAAAGAATCCCCCTGCCTAAGTCCTCGCAAAGCCTTAAAGCTCTTCCCTGGCTTGCAATTTACTATTAGTGACATATTTCAAGTCTCCAAACACCCCCTAATCCATAATCTCCATCTGTCACCATAACCTTTCTTTTCCATTACAAAATTCATAGACTACCAATCCACATGACCACATGTTTTCCCAACAAAATCAACCTTAAAGACAAGCCCCTTGTTTCCTAAACTCCTATAATCCTCTACCACCTCATTTGCCACCAAAACCACATCTAAAATCTGTCTACCTTTCACAAAAGCCCCTTGTGATGGGGAAACCGTAGCCTCTAGTGAAGACCTCAACCTTTTTTACATAACCTTCCCCAAAATCTTTTAAAGTGATGTAACTAGACTGATGGGCCTGAAGTCCCCAATTATAATAGCTCCCTCTTTCTTAGAAATTAAACAAATGAAAGTGGCATTTGTACACAAGTTAACCAACCCCATCTCATGAAATTCAAAAAAAAACTCTTACTAAATCCTCTTTCATCACCTCCCAGCAATCTTCAACGACAGCCATGGAGAAGCCATCCGGACATGGGACTTCGTCCCTTTCACAATCAAATACCGCCTCCCTAATCTCCAACTCCTCAAAAAGTCTTTCTAACCACAGCTCGTACAATAAGTCCCCACTTAAGACCTTCTAATCTATTGTCCAATCCCAATGTGAACAAGAACCTGTCCAATCTATAACATACCAAATTTTCCTACAGATTTGACCAAGTGAACCTGGCATTAGAGAGAGGTAATGAATATTTTGATTGATGGGGTTTAAGGACCATATTTCTAATCTCTATGTTTAATTTGTGAATAGTGAAGACCTCAACCTTTTTTACATAACCTTCTCCAAAATCTTATAAAGTGATGTAACTAGACTGATGGGCCTGAAGTCCCCAATTACAATAGCTCCATCTTTCTTAGAAATTAAACAAATGAAAGTGGCATTTGTACACAAGTTAACCAACCCCATCTCATGAAATTCAAAAAAAAACTCTAACTAGATCCTCTTTCATCACCTCCCAGCAATCTTCAACGACAGCCATGGAGAAGCCATCCGGACATGAGACTTCGTCCCTTTCACAATCAAATACCGCCTCCCTAATCTCCAACTCCTCAAAAAGTCTTTCTAACCACAGCTCGTACAATAAGTCCCCACTTAAGACCTTCTAATCTATTGTCCAATCCCAATGTGAACAAGAACCTGTCCAATCTATAACATACCAAATTTTCCTACAGATTTGACCAAGTGAACCTGGCATTAGAGAGAGGTAATGAATATTTTGATTGATGGGGTTTAAGGACCATATTTCTAATCTCTATGTTTAATTTGTGAATTGAAATTTCAAATTGAAAAATGATGGTTTGGGTAGGCGGGTTGGGGATTCATAGGGGTGAGGGGTTGATATGGTGAGGCTTAATAGGAGTGGCGATTGTGGGGTGGAAAGTTAGCAAATGTGGGGTTGTGGGTGGCGGAGGTGGGTAAGCAACCATTTAGGTTTTTGATCGAGTTTGACCTATTTTGAGTTTTTGATCCTTCTAACTCATGTTAAAAGTATGAATAAAAACTAACATATTTAAATACAAAATTCTTTACTTGCTTGGTGTTGCTTTCAAACCACCACCGTTCTTGGTGATTTTCTTTATCACATATTTCATTTTCTATCCCTTTATATAGCCATCAACTCCCCAACAAACAGTTAGGATCAACTTGATCCAAAGGTTGTCATTAGGCTTTTAGAATAGTGTAAAATATCTTCCTTCTTCCATTTTAAAATTGTCTACATCACAGTGGAGTTTTCCATACTTGTCTAGGATACTCTAAGGCCATGTTTGTTTCGCAGCTTGAGTGGTCGAATTGAACTACCATGGCAATGGCTCCCACTTATAACATGTTTGATAGTGAAATGCGAGAGCGGATTGATAGTCCAAGAGGCTTAGTAATCCCCTAAGTAGGGATTACCTTGGCTAGATTTTGAATGAGATTAGAAAAATAATTAGAAGATTGAATTTATTTTATATAAAAATTTTATTTTTTTAATTTTATTTTTTTTACCAAGTGCCTATTTGTTTTAATATTTTTTTTTGTTTTTTTAATATAAAAATAACTTATTTATTTATTTTATATAAAAATAATTTAACAATCCAATCACTAAACATATCCCATACTATCATCAACACAAACACACTTTTACTTAATCCATTCACTAACAATCCCTACATTAACAATCATTTAACTAACTATCGTCTCACTAACAATCTCATCCAACCCAATTTACCAAACAAACGTGGCCTAAAACCTTCTAGAATCATTTGAATTTCTCTAGACTTCTTTAAAGGTTCTCTAATGTTACGAATTCTTCCAAGACATTCTAGAACCTTCTGAATTTCTTTGTAACTTTTTGAAATCTTCTAGATGCTCCCAACATTGTAGAATGTTATGGAAGACTATAGTGAGTTTGTATTGAATCTCAATAAATTCAAAAAGAAAGGGTAGAGTCTGGTTGCATGGATATGCTCCTGTTAACTTTTGACTCAACAAATTTATAAACTAACTTTTGACTTAACACACCTATTATAGTGGAAAATTGAAAAGAAAAAATCATTAACTTACTTACGGACGGACACTAACGGGTATTTAACCCACCATTTAGGTGTACCTAAATACCAAGATGACTTCAATTTTGTGTAACTATTCTCATGTACATAGATGCCTTTACACTAACAAACATAATTTCACAATACAAATATCAAAATTAACTTACCAACATGTATGCAAATATATTTATATACTTATCCTATGCATTTGAATTTTGCCAAAAAAATTAGTTTTAATGTGCCTAATTTCTTCATTGAAAAACAGTAGAAAAAGTGTCACTGCCGTGGTTCAAATCTTCCTGCCTGCATTCAAAGAAACAGTACAATCTAGCTTCATTAGTAAATTCAACATCAAACTACTGAGGATGAACAAATGAGAACCCATTTTTTTCTAATACAAAAACCTGTAGAAATTTATTAAGAAGAAGAAAAAGAAGAACGTCTAGGAGACAAATAAAGCTCAGCTCAAGAGCCAAACATTGAGTAGCGAAAGCAAATGACATACTTTACAAACCCTAGACCTTCAAAAATGAAGAAAATTGGCACGATGCATGCTCTAGTCCTTCAAAACAGTTTCATATATAACCCTACAATACTAGAGAGCCACAAAAAAAAAGAAAAAAAAAAAGAAACAGCCTACCCAACATAAATAAATAAATTCATTCATGTACATTGGTGGCACCCCCTTGGTGCCTTTTTATTTATAATTTTTACTTTTCACCCAAAATAAATAAATAAATAACAAAGAAAGGAGAGCACAAAAACAAGATCCAAAGAAAAAACAAAAATAAAAAAATAAAATAAAAGAGAGAGAGAGAGAGAGAATAAAAATTAAGAAAGCACTTTGGGAACAAGCTTTAGTAAAGAAAGATGTAAGGGAAGGAGAGGGAGGGAGGGAGGGAGGGAGGTGTGACAACCATAGTCTGAGGAAGCCAGTGTGAGGGCTTTGAACTGGCACTCAATTCTTGAAAGGAAAAGCATGGCTTCATTGAAGGGCTTTGAAAGTTCTTGTTCATACTTTGTCAGCATCTCACAATATGCCTCCATGAATTGATCCAGTGCCGGATCTTCGCCGATACACCCGGTCCCCGTCCCGGCACGGCCAACTGCGGCCGCTGACTCCAGTCTGGCCACCACTTCCGGCGGTGCTCCTATCTGCTTCATTACACATGCATACATATAAACATATAAATAAATAATACGTATTCTTGCTTTTCTTTCATTAGTATGTGTATGGAGAGAGATTATTTACTCGAGGAAGCATAAACTATCTGTTTCTGTCCCTATCATTCTGGTTAAAAAAGGTTTCAGGCTATAGACTCATTTCCTTGAAGAGTGTCCTTTAAATTAGGGAACTAACAGATAAAGAACCTTTGTCTCTGTCTCACACACACACACACAGATTTCCATTATAGTACCCAAATTTTTCAGTGGAGAGAAAGTAAGCATAATTTCTCTCTTCTTCAGGCTCTTGGTGTCTGAATCTATGAATTTGGAAGAGGAAGAGATGTGGGTCTTTGACAGCCTCCAAGAATTATTAGGCACACATCTAGAGAGAGAGTCATGGTTTAGAGCATCCGGGTCTTTGTTTTTTTTAGTGAATTTGGAACAAGAAGGATGAGAGAGAGAGAGAGAGAGAGTCGTGGTTTAGGGCATCTGGGTTTTTTTTTTTTTTAGAAAAAAGGGGGTGGTTTTTTATTGGGTTTATTACCTTTTGACAATTGACATAGGCAGCCAAGAGGCGGTGGTAGTGAGGATGAGCCATGATCTTAGCCCTGACAGAAGAAAAGCCACCATCATTGTTGTTGTTATGGTTCTCCGTGAAGTAACAGCCTGAGTTTGTGTTGTTATCGTTGTTGTTGCAGCTGTTTTGGCCATGAATGTGGTTGTTGTTGTTGAGAGGTATTGGAAGAAATAAGGTATTATTGTTGTCAACATTCGGGTGAGGAGGAGGCATCATCATCATCATTGGACATAGTCCATTACTGTTCTCTCCAAACCCCATCAAACATGAAGTCCCACTAGAACCCCCACCTCCCTCCATTAACCCTTCTCACTCTCAGTATCTTATCGTTCTCCTTTGATCTTCTTCTCAGCTTTCCTATATAACCCTAAACCATAACCATCTCTTTCTCTCTCACACACAAACACACATGAACCCTCCTTTTCTCTTTTTGAATTGTGTTCTCCCGAGATTTATGCTACTCTTTTCAGACTTTTTACAGAAAATCCTAAATAGCAGTCAGTTTTGTGAAGTAGTTTTGTGAAGTGAATGGGTCTAGAAAAAAAAACGCCTCTATTTAGATTTCCCTCTAAAATGGGTGTTTATCCTTCCACTAGTCATTAACAGCATTGGGAAATGCTTGAGAGCTCTAAATTTAGAGCTTTAATTTGAGCTTTAATGATGTGTTAAAGTAAAAAAAAAAATAAGACACAAACATCACATGAAGGTGAGTCTCACCTTTCCATTAAAGCTATTAGAGCTCTTATATTAGAGCTCCAAAGCATTTTTGAACAGCATTAAGGGCATCCTCCATCTCAATTTTTTCAAATTTAAGGGCACCTTCCCCGGTATATTAATTTTTTTATTAAATTTATATAAAAATTTTATTTGATATCAAATATTCTATCAAAAGATTTCATAACTTCGTTAAACTACTCATTTGACTAGATAAACCATCCGACAGACGACCGGTAAATATAATTTTTATGACAAATTTTTATTTTGAAATGGTTATTTCGGGATATTTGATGGTAAAAATCTAATAATAATGAATAATGATTTAATGAAAGACACATTAATTCTCCATTTGATAAAAGAAAATAAAATTTAGATTTGATGATGAATTTGATGTATGATTAGAAGAAAAAAGAAAGTTTTTTTTTGGCAAATTTGCTTGTTTGGAGTCAACAATGTTAAGTGACGTTAAAAATCATAACTCGAATAGTTCGAAACACTCAAAACAATATCGTTTTGAGTGTAAAACGATATCGTTTCAATACATTCGAGCTATTCGAACCACAAAAATTCAGGCCACGAAACATTTTCTGTTTGGAATATGCTACATAAGTAAATTTTTTATTTTTTTATCTTTTTTAAGTTACATCACCTCACTATTTTTCTATATAATTTTCTATAAAAAATTAAAAAGTATACTAAAAAAAATTAATTTTTAACTTTTAACTATTTTTAAGTTTATATTTTTTATACATCAAAAAATCAAAAAAAAAAAAGTAAAAAAATCAATTTTTAACTAATTTTTCAAAACAGCCCATAGAGATTGAAAGATTTGCAAGTACAGGGGTGATTTGCAGAGAGGAGTCCCCCTAAGTTATCCTTGGGGCCTTGTAGGTTTGTGCAAAGCTTTACCTTCCCAATGAAAACACTCCCCCATTTTTCTTGCACTGCCACTGATGCACTGCCATTACTGGCAACTAGAGAGAGAGTTAGAGAGGGGAACGATCAAATCGAGGTGTAGTGATGTATGGTAGAGGGAAAGGTTGGGTTTTTGGGGCACGGAATCACAACTCAACTGTGGTGTGTTGTTCAACACTGGTTAGAGCTATTTGTCGACTCATTTCCCACGCCGCTTATTATTATCATTTCTTATTAAAATTTGAAAATAATAAATAAACTAATAATTAACTTGTGCAACAATTATTTTTTAATAATATTTTAACTATAAAAATATATTTAAATATATATATGATATTTTTGTACTTAATTTTAATATAAGAAAATAAATATTTGTTTTAATATCAAAAATAATGATTAAATTGGAGAAAAAAATGTCATTTAAAATCAAAGAATGATTCTAATTATTTATTTTGATAATTAACCTTTTCTTTCTGTAAAAATATTATTTAAACAAATATATATATATATATGTATGTATGTATGTAATAATTTTATCTCAATTATTTATGTGTATTTTAATAATCTTAGTCCTATCCTGCTATAGCCCTGTTTGGTAGAGCTGTGGAAAAGTGCTTATAGCTTATGCCTAAACAGCTTATAGCTTATAACTATGAACATAAGCTGATTTCTGACTTATTCTTAAAGCATCTCTTGCCTCACACAAAGAATAAGCTGATTTCTGACTTCCAAAAAGCTATAAGCTAAACCAAACACATCAAAATAGCTTAAATTAAGCTGAAAGCTGAAATAAGCTGATTATAATTTCTGCCAAACAGGCACTATAAATGTGTAAATATATAATAATTTTATATAACATTAAATTATAAAGGGTAAATTATACTGACACCCCTTGAGTTTATTACAATTCCCTCCTCGTCTTTTTGAAATTATATCTCTCCCCCCAGGTTTAAAGTTTTATTACATATTTCCCTTGTCACCAATTTAATTTTTTTAAATACCAATTTTTTCCTCACTGTGTAAATTACATTGACAACCCTCACATTTTGAAAATTACAATCCCCTCCCTAAGGTTTAAAGTAGAATTACCAATTGCCCTCTCGGTTAGTATTAGTTGGAAAAAAATTCATTGGAAAAAAAAAATTCATTGGAAAAAAAATTATTTGAAAAAAAAATTAATTGAAAAAAAACTTTGTTTTTAAAATTTTAAATTTTTGTTTAAAAACCAACGTAAACTCATTTTTTGAATTTACGTTTTTTCTTCAAATTTACAAACTGAGACAATCATTTATAAATCAAAAAAATTATCAAACAAGTTTTTATGACAATTTTTAAAATTTTTGTAAATATAAATTAAAAACTGAAAACGAAATGGTTACCAAACAGGCCTCAAATGGTAAAAATGTCGTAAAATTAACAAATAATTAAATAAGTTACCAACGTAAGAAATAATTTATAAAAAGATTCTTAGGTTATGTATGGTTTGATTTTTAGAAAATTTTTTTAAAAATTAAAAATTAATTTGGTTAAGAAATAAAAAATAAAAAATAAAAAAAAATTATTATTTTAACTTTTAGGTAGGTTGTATACATACGTATGGCTGTTTCAATTTAATTTGTAAAAAATTATTTATAACCACTCAAAAGATATAAATAATATAAAAATAATTATTATTTTTTATTTCTTAACCAAATTAATTTTTAATTTTTAAAAAAAAATTCTAAAAATCAAACTATATATAGCTTAAGAATCTTTTGATAAGCCATTTCTTACATTGGTAACTTATTTAATTATTTGTTAATTTTACGACATTTTTGTCATCTGAAGCCTGTTTGGTAACCATTTCGTTTTCAATTTTCAATTTATATTTTCAAAAATTTTAAAAAATGTCATAAAAACTTGTTTGCTAATTTTTTTGGTTTATAAATGGCTGTCTCAATTTGTAAATTTGAGAAAAAAACGTAAATTCAAAAAATGTGCTTACGTTGGTTTTTAAACAGAAATTTAAAAATTTTACTAACAAAATTTTTTGTCAATTAATTTTTTTTTCAAATAATTTTCTTTTCAAATACATTTTTTCCCAATTAAATTTTTTTTCAATTAATTTTTTTTCCAACTAATACTAACCGATTGAGCAATTGGAAATGCTACTTTAAACCTTAAAGATGGGATTGTAATTTCTAAAATGTAAAGGGTGTCAATGTAATTTACCCAGTGAGGGTAAAATTGGTATTTAAAAAAATTAAATTGCTGAGGGGAGAATCTGTAATGAAACTTTAAACCTCAAGGAGGAAGATGTAAGTTCTAAAAGGTGAGAGGGGAACTGTAATAAACCTAAACCTGAGGGGGTGTCAGTGTAATTTACCCAATTATAAAATAGTAAAATAAACAATCAATTTGACATTAATAATAATAGTTAAATTGAAAAAAAAATAGTAACATAATTAAAAGTGATTCTAATTATTTATTTATTTTATTCAGTAGGAAATATAAAAAAAAATATAAATGAAAGTTATAAAAAAAATTAGGATAAATTACAAATACACTTCTTGAGGTTTGATTAAAATACGAATCGCCTCCTGTAGTTTTGGAAATTTTATTCCACCCCTTGAGGTTTCTAATTTCATAACAAATCTCTCATTTTATTTATAAATCATCAAGTCAATTAACACTTTTTAATGATATTAGAAATATGTTTCAATTAATAATTTAGGTAATTTTATTGTATATGGGAGCAATTATGAATTTCATTTTTTTAGTTAATTCTATTAAATAAAAAATACTAACAAGGAGGTATTTGTACTTTTCCAAACCACAAGGGACAATCTGTACTTTAAGCAAATCTCAGGAGTGTATTTGTAATTTACCCAAAAAATTATTTTAAAAAATTAAATATAAGTATATTGCGGTTAGATTAAGAAAAAAATAAATATATTAATTATGTTGAGTATTAATTTTTTTTAATATCTATTTTAAAACTATTTATTATCAAAGTGTAGTTTAAATTATATATATGAAAAATAAGTATGTTTCAAATAGAATCTATACAAAATTAGTTATTATAATTAAAATTAAGTTTGTGTAGAACTTTATATGTAAATATAAAATACATTAGTGATGTAACTTTTTAAGGGAAAAAAAATAGACTTTATAATGTGTATTTATATGAAAAATAAGTATTTTTCAAATAGACTTCATGTAAAATTGATTATTATAATTAAAATTGAGTTTGTATAGAACTTTATATGTAAATAGAAAATGCATGGTAGAGTCCACATAAAATTTGTTATTATAATTGAAATTAAATTTTTGTAGAACTTTATATATAAATAGAAGAATAATGTTTGGGACCACTAAAGTAACAACTCTAAAGCTACACTACTGAGGTGGTATTGCTGTGGGTCCCACCTTGATGTGATAGTTTGACCTCTTTTTTTTTTCCCCTGCATTGAGCTGGCATTAGTGCTCCTAAATTAATGGCCTATATCATCACTGATAAATAGAAAATGTATGATGATGTGATTTTTTTAGAAGGGGAAAAAAGACTTTAGAATCTGTATATATATGAAATATAAGCATTTTTCAAATACAATCCATTTAAAATTAGTTATTATAATTGAAATTTAGTTTGTATAAAACTTTATATGTAAATGAAAAAGGCATGATGATGTGGCTATCTTATAAACAAGTAAGACCTTATAATATACTACTTAAATATGATAAAAGCACTACTTAAATATTATAAAAACACTACTTTTAATTATATATATATATATATATGATTGCAAAAACCTATTACCAATGCGTCCTAATTTTTTAGATTGAGAGAATATTTGGGATAATTTAAATAAATATATTTTTTAAATTCTTATGAAAAGATGTGTAAAAAAATAAAAAAATAATG